ACACACACACACACACACACACACACACACAGACAGCCTTGTTCTCCCTGAGAGAGAAGTGGGAAACAGGATAGCACAGGGGCAACTGTACTGAATCCAGACAAGGCAGTCTAAGGTAGGGTTGTCAGAGGGAAGCCATCAACAGAAACAGTTGAGCCCTGGACCCTTTATGACACCTAAGCCTATCACCATTGCTTTACTGCCCAGTATTCAATGCCCTTTAGAGTCTATTTACTCCTATTGACCTTTTCAGGCCACACCTGCCCCCACATGCCATGCTCAACACTTCCCAAATACAGCTCCATTTAGGCCTTGACCACTGATGAACAGCCAGCATTCCGTGCCCCAGACATTCACTGCTTACTRACTGAACCCAGCCCAGCACAGGGTGTGTCTTCCCTGTGCACCATTCCAGTGTTTTCAGGGTTGAAGATACTTCCTTTAATGATGTGGGTGCTAAAGGCAAGGAGTCTCCAGTATGAAGAAAATACGCCTGTGGACTAGGCAGGTTACTGCCTCCAACAAAGGGGGAAATGGCTGAAAGAGGAAGTCACCAGATCTGCTTTTCCCAGATACCCTTTGCCCTGGTCAGACTATTAGGCCTCTAAAAATAGCAATGGCCACTTCCTAAGACCCCCAGGGCCTAGAACTAGGATAAGAGTCATACAAGGTTATTTGCCTCAAATAACCTTGGGAGGGGTTATCTTTATCCCCACCTAACAGATAAGGAAACAGAAAGGTGGGAATGGCTTGCCTAAAAAGTTTCTTCCCACTTCTCTGGCTTCTGCTCTCTTCCACCAATTAGGCATCCACCCCTAGAGGATTCATCCTCAAGGTCAACTCCACCACTGCCTGCCAAGGGGTCTGAGTTAACACTATCATCCCAATTCCCTGAGAAAATGGGCAGGTTAATATTCTATCTGCTCAGGCTCCTTTGCTGACTTAAGCAAGGACTGGACAAATTAGAGTACAGTTAGTACCAATTCAGGCAAAAAGTCTGTGTTAACCACATACTTCCCAATGCCACACCCATCATTCTCAGAACTCCCTAGCCCACACATGGCTTCTTGTGACCCCCAGGGTAAAGTCCCTATGACCCAACAGGTCATGAGCCCTACCCAATTCACTTCCCCCATCACACATTCCAGCCAGCCAGGCCAGAGTTTGCCTATCTCCTGATTTGTAGTTCCTTCTTCCTGGAAGGAATCTCCCTGTTTGATCTCCATCATACTCCAGGAAGCCTTCTCTGACACCTACTCATCCAGGTTGGCTTGCCCAGCAGACTCCATCTCTGAGGGTCACTATTAGTCCCACTCTGGAAAGTTGGGGAGAAAGGGTCAAGACAGCACGAATTCCAAGGTATATCTGGGCCCAGAATACCCCTGGGGAATTGGACTCAGGGAGACTCGATCACTGAGCCACATCCTCAGCCCTTATATGTATTTTATTTAGAGACAGGGTCTCACTGAGTTGCTTAGCACCTCGCTTTTCCTGAGGCTGGCTTTGAACTTGCAATCCTCCTGCCTCAGCCTCCCGAGCTGTGATTACAAGCTTGCTCCACCACACCTGACTGAGCATTTCTTGACCTGGAACTTCTACTGGGGCCTCCTGAAACCTTGCTGCCTATCAACTCTACTCTTCCGTGGTCTGCATCATTCCCACTAAAATATCCCCAGTAGAAAAGCATGGGTGGGGGGCTGGGGATGTGGCTCAAGTGGTAGCGCGCTCGCCTGGCATGCGTGCGGCCCGGGTTCGATCCTCAGCACCACATACAAAGATGTTATGTCCACCGAAAACTAAAAAAATGAATTAAAAGAAAAGAAAAGAAAAGCGTGGGTGGGCAAACGAGGGGTGGCTGCAGCAAACTCAGTATGTAAGGTATGCCTCAGTGTGCCTCTGCTCCCTGGAGTCCTGGGCAGGCCACTGACACACTCTCTCTAAATGGGAAATATGGGCTGAAGGAGACACCTAAGGCTCTCCAGTGAGAGGTTTAATCCTGGCCCACCAACACAAGGAAACACTGGTTCCTGTGTAGTTGCCAGGCCTCAAACCAAGGAGGGAGTGATCAAGGAAGTCACCCAGTCCCAACAGCCTGGTCTAACTGTACATGCATGAAGGGGTGAGTGTACATGCACGTTCCCTGACACCTGTCCATGACTATTGTCCCAACCCTTTCCCCTGTCTTCAGTAATCCTGTTTCCCTGAGGCCTTCCTCCCTCAGGCTCATTGCCATCCATTTGATAAGTTGAGGGTGAGGGAAAATGAGCTTGGTGACCAGCTAGAATAGCAATCTTCTCCCCAAATACCTTGCTTCCAGCAGTGCCCTTTGAAACATGGAACGTACCAGACTGCTTGAGGGGTTAAAAGTAACAGCTAGTTCAGACCAAGGCCAATGAGAGGCCAACTCTGAGGCAACCCTGCCCACCCCCACCAGCCCCAGGAGTGGAGCCCAACGGCCTCTTTCCAGCTACAAAATAGGGATAGGGCGAAGCAAAACTTGGCACTGCTGTGGGACTGCTGATAGAGTGGACAACCGGGTGGCATCACTCCCACTCACTCCCTTTTTTTTTTTTTTTAACCAGGGGCAGATGGTAAGAGGCTGACCACACCCTTGCCCAGAATGGCGGGTGGTGGACTGGCAGACCCAGGTGACAAGACGGATACCAAGACGATCCCCCATTTCACTATTAGATGCAGACCGGAGAGAGGCCCTGTTTCTCCCAGTCCAGTTGGACCGACCCACCACCAGACGCACGCCTCACCCAGCACCACTGGGGGGTGACGTTGGGCCTGGAGCGCCGGGTCCGAGAGCAGCAGCAGCAGCAGCAGCAGTTCAAACAGGAGGCCACTCGGGAGCAGGGCCTTGCGGCAGGGACAGAGGCGTAGGTCCATGGCGTGCGGCGGCGGACTGCAGGTCCGAGGTGCGGGTTCAGTGTTCCGAGCTCGTGCCTAGGCCGGGGCGGTGGCTAAGAGCTTAACCCCGCCGCCCGCGGCACCTCCTGCAAACAGCCTGCCAATAGCGACTCGCCATCAGACGCGTCCCTCCCTCCCTAGCTCGCGGCCCCGCCCTTGTCCACCCAGGGGTTGGCTCTCTCCACCGCGCTGCGTGCCGAGAGCATCGATCAGCCCTTCTAGGCGCCGCTGGGCTCCCGGCTCTCCATCTTCCCGGCCGACCCAACTCACCCGGTGCGTACCCATCGGAGGTCCACGCTGGGCAGCCCCCATTTCCAGATCCTGGAGCCTCCCAAACCTCGAGGATACGAAACCCACCTGGCCGCTAGAGGGATCCCGGGTCCCGAGCTCATAGTGGCTTAACTACCCCTGGCAAAGCAAGAAGAGGGGAAGTGAGTCAAGGGCAGTTCTTGGGCCTTAGGTTACCAGCAGTTAACCTGGACCTTTGCCCAACCCCCACACCAGCTCTTCCCAACTTGCCCTGAGGGTAAGTTTAGTCACCGGGCTCAAGGACCCTCTACCTATGTCCTGACCTTGTGGTTATGAATACTAGTCAGGTTGTGGCTCAGCAAGCGTTTTGGGAAGTGGAGCCTTGGGTACACAACCAGATGAGTCAGTTCCGAAGGGAATGGGCTTGAGCCTGGACCCTGAAGAGTGGAAGGGGCATTAGGAGCTTGTGTTGCCTCCTACTCCACTCCAAGCAAACCTGGGGATCCAGAGAGGACACAGACTCCCTACGCCAAGAATCTGGGACAAACAATGTGGACGAAAACTGGACAGCAGCTTGGATATCAACACCCATGCCTCATTCTGGGATAAAGAGACCAGTATGTTTGGGAATGCAAGTCATGGTCTTCCACACATCCCTTCCCTGGGGCCAGCTACACCCTGTTCATCCCTGTCTGGTCCTAGGACCTCTGTCTAACCACTTCCCTCTTCTTGGTAAGCAGCTGACCCTGTGTTAAAGCTGATCTCTATCTTGGCCTGYCCCTGGGTTCATATGCTGAAACTGAAACTTAGTCCTTTGAGTAACCTCCTCTCTTGATGTCCAAATATTCCCTACCTCAAGCCCTGCCTCCCCTTCCTTCACCTCTGGCACCAACAGAAGATCACTGAAGACTGCTCTTGAAGGCCTACTATGGGAGACCATAGAGACCCTTCTGCCAGGATTAGGGAAAGTCAGAAGCCCAGAGCCAAGAATTACATGATAGAGAGAAGGGATCAAAGGACCTGGGTAGACTTGGACTCTGGCCACACTAAACTTCTTAACAGGCCAGCAGCCTCAGGTGACCCTGGGCCCCTGGAAAGGTTGCCCTGTCCTCAGGAGATCGCTGATAACCCACTCCCACAAGCAATTCAGATATTAGGAACCATGACTATTGGATGAGGGATGGCAATGCCTGGTCAGCAATGACCCTTGCTGGCACTGTGGAGAAGGGTCAAAAGGTGAGGGTCCCCACTTTTACTCAGTGAGCCTGCCATCTACCCATTCCCCCTGTCTACAGACCTAGGGTCATCCTGGACTCTGGATGCCACCCTGCTTCTCATCCCACAAACTGGATGATCACTAAGTCTTGCCAACTCTACCCATCCCAATGCTAAACTGCCTTCATCCCCACAGTAGCCTCTTCACTGGTGTCCCAATTTATGCCCTTATTCCTGTGGGCTGCTTTCCACATGCCAGACTGACATCATTAAACATTAAGTCATTGCAAAGGCACAGTGACAAATGCCTGTAATCCTGGCTACTCAGAAGGCTGGGGCAGGAGGATGCAAAATTCAAAGCCACCTGTCTGAGGTTGTGGCTCAGTGGTAGAGCACTCGCCTTGCATGTGTGAAGCCCTGGGTTCAATCCTAAGCACCACATACAAATAAATAAATAAAGGCATCATGTCTGTTTACAACTAAAACAATATTTAAAAAAAAAAATTCAAAGCCACCCTCAGTAACTTAAGGAGGCCCTAAGCAACTTAGTGAGACCTGTCTCAAAATTTTACAAAGCGGGGGCTGGGGTAGTAGCTTAGTGATTGAGCGTTTGCCTCACATGTGTGAGGCACTGGGTTTGATTCTCAGCACCACATAAAAATAAATAAAATAAAGATTATGGGCTGGGGTTGTGGCTCTGCGTTAGAGCACTTGCCTAGCACATGCAAGGCCCTGGGTTCAATCCTCAGCACCACATTAAAATAAAGGTATTGTGTCCAACTACAACAAATAAATAAATATGATTATGTCCATCTACAACTAAAAAAATATTTTTACAAAATTTTAAAAAGGGTTGGGGTGGGGGCTGGGGCTGTAGCTCAGTGGCAGAGCACTTGCCTAGCACATGTGAGGCACTGGGTTCAATCCTCAGCACCACATAAAAATAAACAAATAAAATAAAAGCATGCTGCCCATCTACAACTACCAAAAAAAAAAAAAAAAAAAGAAAAAGAAAAATTTAAAAAAAGGGCAGAGAATGAAACTCAGTGGTAAAATGCCTCTAGGTCCAATCTCCAGTACTCCCCCCCCCCAAAAAAAAAATTATGTCAAGTCCCGTCACTCTCCTCCTAAGCCCACCCACAGAATTCCCATGGTATGCTTTTCACTCACAGTGAATGAGGTCTGGCTGTTTCCACAACTTGCACTTTCCCTTCTCTCCAGTTGGCTTGTTTTTAGCCTTAATGGCTTTATTGCTGCCTAGAACAGGATAACCTCTGCCTAGAACAGGATATAAAGTCCCGTTCCTCAGGATTTCTGCACTTGCTACAGTGAGACTACCCTGCATTCCTCAGTTTGGGGGAGTTTACATTCAGGCCTCAGCTCATAAATGACCACTGGAATTGAAGCATCCCTCGCCTGGCTCCTATTATAGTACAATGGCTGCAAGAGCAAGCTCTTCACCTTTTTTTTTTTTTTTTTTTGTCAATGGATCTTTATTTATTTGTATGCGGTGTTGAGAATCGAACCCTGTGCCTTACATATTCCAGGCAAGTGCTCTACCACTGAGCCATGACTCCTTCACCAGTCTTTTTTCTATCATATCCTTGGTTACTAGTTACTACCTGGCACAGTTTCTGGTACACAGCAGATGATTAATACATGTTGAAGGAATGTATTCATCCTTCTCCACAACATCCCTCTTCCATGACAGGACCCCGGTGCTTGTCAGACCTGGAGGTGGAGATAAAGGACTGAATGGTGAGCAGTGCTGGATGCGAATTCTGGAAAAGATTGGGAAAGAAGGAGGGTGTGTTTGAAGAGGGGAATACATTGAGTAAAGACCAGTAGTGGGAATAAACTCAGAGACTGAAGAGCCAGGCCAGTTGTAATGTGTGAGTATACGACCTCTGCTGCTACTGTTACTGGACCTTGCATTTCCTCTCACTATCCCATGTTCCATGCGAGGGGAGCATGGAACCAGGTGGGTGCTGAGCTTGGGTCAACCAAACCCCAACCAAGGCCTCTAAACTGATTTGGTGATCACAGCTGAGCCCATTGGAGGCCAAGTGATTCTCCCTCAGCAGACCCCTATTCCTTCCTGCCAGAGCCTCCCTGAAGTAGAGGCCAAACTGATCAAATCAGTAATTCAACACAGAATCCTGGAGACAAGAGGCCCAGACCAGATCATCTAACTTGGTCTAGGCATCAAGGAAGGTTGTCCAGAGTAAGAATCATTAGAGATGGGTCTTGAAAGATAAGTAATTTCCCAGATCAATAAAGGGATATGTAGGTAGGTGACTGCTTCAGCAGCCCATGGATCCAAAGAATCACAATGTGTCTGGGGTACAGACTAGGGCAGAGTGAAATAAAGATTGAGGACCCTGAAAAGCAAGCTTTAAGACTTGGCCAATGTGCAAGGATCCAGGAACTACTAGAAGATTCTAAGCCAGACAGAAGAGGCCTAGAAAGCGGAGTCCAGGGCATCTGCATTTTAACCTCATTCCTACAGGAGCACGTTCCTGCCCTCTGATCTTCACCATTGGGTTTTGACTACAGGGTCAGCGCGCCCTCTGGTGGGAACTCAGATGCAATTCTGCAAAGATGCTGGGATGGGAACCGCGGAGGAGCCCAGAGCGCTAGCTACTCTGTTGGCCTTGGAGATCAGAACCCTTAGCAGTGGGGTTAGCTGGGAGCCGTTGGTTCACTGAGGGCCACGACAGGTATGAGACAACGACTGTGAATCCTTGCGGTGGTCTCCAGCGTCGAATCTTGTTCACAGAGGGACCTTTTCTGGGTAGGAAGGGAAAGTCCCCAGAGGATGCTTTTTCACTACTTAGGAGAAAGCTGTCACTCTCTCCTTGCAASAGCCTCACCCTGTATCTGCCCAGGCCTTCATTAACCCGCGATTGGCGCTCCCGCTGCCTTTAGGACTCCCGGCTAAGAGATTTCCAAGGGCAGCTTAGGAAAGACCTCTGGCCTTAGTTGAGCTGGGCCGTTAGGGCCTTTCTTAGCCCTCTGTCAGTACCTATTTCCCATTTATCCATTCATTCATGATTCATGAATCCTAGAAGCAGAAAGCAAGGAACAGTTTGGGGTAGGAGAATATTTCAAATTGTAGAATGGACCCCAGCTATGAAGGGAGCTACCTTAAGGGGCAGAAATGAGGAGGGAAAAGCAGGAGTGGTCTGGGAAGGAGGGTAAAGACATATAGAATATCCTACTGCAAAGGCCTTGTGGTCCTAGAAGTTTACCATTGCTGGAATATTCCAAGACAAAAGAAACAATCTCCAGGACAATTCATTCAGTCAGTGCCGGCCTCAGATGTATGTGAGGAAAAAGCCTGTGTCCTCGAGGATAGGATGTTGGGTAGGGTGGTGGGGAGACAATAAATGATTAATAAATCATATTACAAGTTGGTTATGTGAGGGGGAAGCACAAATTGCTTAATAAAAAGGGGGTGATCTAGGAGGAAGCACATGCAGATAAGGGAGCTCAGCAAAACAAGGACCCCATGTTATTTGGACGAATTTGGTTTTTCAAGAAGAGTCCAAGTGTCACGAATAGTCTTGGGGTGTAAAAAGCTGGGTGGGCGGGTGGGGG